GAATGAATAAATAGCAACGCAACGTTCCGGAGCTTATTCTAAAGGGAAAAAAAAAATTAAATCATTTATACACAATATACAGCAAAACACACATAGGAAGAAGTGCACATTGAAGTCCTGTTGAGGTAGGTAGGATGAAAGAAGTGTTTACATTCCAGGCCTCCTCTGAGTGCCCAGCTAAAATACAGCATTGCCCATTTTCATACCCCTTCGGCTCTCGGAGGCACACACAACGTTTGCTCCCAAGTCTTTGCCCCAGGCCAGAGCCAGGACCTCTTGGTTTTTTTTAATCCCCATCCTTCAAACTAATAGTACCCAAATATTCAGCCAGGATGACAGTTGTGCATCTACCATCACAACAAAAGAGAGGTTGGTAGCTGGTCTCTCCTCACAGGTGATAGAATGAGAGGGAGTGGCTTCAAGCTGCAACAGGGTAGGTTTAGACTGGACATTAGGAAAAAAATTCTTCACAGAAAGAGTAGTCAGACACTGGAATGGGCTGCCCAGGGAGGTGGTGGAGTCCCCATCCCTGAATGTGTTGAAGAGTCCTTTAGATGTGGTGTTGGGGGATATGGTGTAGGGGAGAACTTTGTAGAGTGGGGTTGATGGTTGGACTCGATGATCCCAACCTGATCCAACCTGAATAATACTATGAAAAGCAACAGGCAATAACTACAGAAAATCTATTCTTCTTTTAAAGACAACTTTTGTCCTTAGCTGACAAAGCACAGCTACAAAAGCATCAATGCTATACAGCTTTTACCCATGTAGAGCTTGTTAAAAGTCTCTGAAAATTTCTCCCGCATATATTGCCAGCATTGGAGAATCTCTGGAGGTTGCTTTTTCAATTTTTAATGTTTCCATGGAGTCTCACAGCATTTGCAGGCCCTAATAAATGCACTGCTGAGTCTACAAAGTTGTTCCACAGCCTTGAACCATTTTAATAACACACAAAAGCATTACAGCCACTCTAATACATCTGAATTTTGCTTAAGTGGAGAACAACCCTTGACTGATCGGCTTTGTAAATCCACGTGGTAACAGAAAACACGGGTTGTTTTTTCCTCTTGCATCTCTCCTAGGGTTTCTAAACTAAGAAATGCTTCTTGTTCAAAAACATGTAACCAGCTACACAAATCCAGAAGGAAATTGTAGCTTCATTCTCAGCACGTCTGCTGAACACCCAGCTTTGTATCTGTAGGAAACATATCACAGCTCTGGTCTGACAGCCCACAGCTGCCTTACTGCTTATCTTCCTAGGTGAGTACTGATGCTGAATAAACACCACCCCCAGCAGCCCTCTGCTCTGCCAGTCCAGCCCAGGGGGAATGGTACACTGCTCCAACTCCAAGGTTCAGCTGGTCAGCTGGCAGCAGGGTAGTCACTCTCCCATGTTTTGGGATATATTCAGCGGGTTCTTACCATGTACTGCTCTTCTGGGCCACCCCAGGTGATCCCAATCACAGAATCTTCATGGTTGGAAGGGACCTTTGACATTGAGTCCAACCATATACACACACAAAAAACCAACAACCCAACCCAACAATCTTGGGCACTAGAGCATGCCCTGAAGTGCCACATCTACACACTTCTCGAATACCTCCAGGGATGGTGACTCCACCACCTCCCTGGACAGGCCCTTCCAGGGCCTGACCACCCTCTCAGGAAAGTCATTCTTCCCAATATCTCTTCTAAACCTCCCCTGCCCCAACTTCAGACCATTCCCTCTGCTCCTCTCATTATTCCCTTGGGAGAAGAGGCCAACCCCCACCTCTCTTCAACCTCCTTTCAGGGAGTTGGAGAGGGCAATGAGGTCTCCCCTCAGCCTCCTCTTCTCCAAACTAAACATGTCCAGTTCCCTCAGCCTCTCCTCGTAGGACTTGTTCTCCAGACCCCTCACCAGCTTGGTGGCTCTCCTCTGGACGCACTCCAGCAGCTCAATGTCCTTCTTGTAGTGAGGGGCCCAGAACTGAACCCAGCCCTCGAGGTGAGGCCTCACCAGTGCCCAGTCCAGAGGCACCATCACTGCCCTACTCCTGCTGGCCACGCTTTTCCTGACACAGGCCAGGATGCTGGTGGCCTTCTTGGCCACCTGGGCACACTGCTGGCTCACGTTCAGCCAGCTGTCCACCAACACCCCCAGGTCCTTTTCTGCTGGGCAGCTCCAGCCACTCTGCTCCAAGCCTGTAGCGTTGCCTGGGGAAATGCTGGGAAGCAGAGAATACTTCTTTCAGGCATTGCCTCCATGGCCTGGTCAAGTTCCCCTTCTTGGTCGTGAAGGACAACTGCAGAATCCAGCTTAACAACTCGGAAACACTTCAGAGTTCTTCCTCCTTAAACAACAAAGTTATTTTCATGTGAAGGTCATCTTCATTTTCATCTTAACAGCTCCGGAGAGAAGACTGTCACGCAGCAGGATAGGCAGCAGGGTGCTCAATTAGCCCAAACTGTACCAGGACCTTTAAATGCTGTCAGTTTTGGGGTCAAATGGGAAAAAGGAGGGGCTCGCAGCAATCCCGTTTATCGGGAAAAATATTAGAAAATAAGTTTGCAGGCTAGTAATTTGAAAACAGGAAATAAATTCACTGCATTGCAGATTTAAATAGTATGCAAACGCCTCTCTGGAACAAGGAAAAGAAACAACGGTTCAAGAAGTGCTTCAAGCACATCCCTATGAGATGCTTTCCCTGCAAATCATCTCAGTCTGTGCTCAAATACATCTAATACCCCTATATAACGCCTCGTCAAACTGCACACAAGCGAAATATTTCCCTTGAACTACATGAAATTAAGAGTGAGCGACACGAACCGTTGTTTCTTCGGGCGTTACAGGCTCCCTCACAAGTGCTCAGGCTGATTCCTTCCAGGCAGAAGCGTAACGCGTACCACAGCCTGCTTTAAAATCAACTTTTAGGTACATCACCTCCTGAAGATGACCCCTGAAAACTGCATGAACTCCAGCTGGTCAGGATTGTGTACAAGATCAGAAGCTACAGATTATATCCTTTGTAGTAAATCAGGTCAGGTAAGGTCTCCTTAGGGGCTTTCTTTCCCCCCCAGAGATGCATTACAATTTCTAACACTGGAAACCAATTTAGAAAGAACACTACGAAAATGGAGAATCCTTTTCTCAAACATAAGAAGGATCCTTAAACATACTAATAATTTTTTTTAAGGTCTGCTGCTTCCTTTTCCTGCTCTCTGTTCTCCTTACTTTCTGACCTAAGCTTCTGAATTTGGTTTTGCAAAAGGGTGATCAGGAAATACCCCTTGCAGGACTTATTATGTCACGAGTTAAGTTCCACTTACCGTCTTCTCCTCCACCATTTAAAGTTACATAGCTTAATACCCCCAGAAGAAAAATGTTAATGAACACAATTGCCTTAAGACTATTTTTAATGTGCAATCTTTTAAACAGCATGTCTCACACTGGACTGAACGGGCAGCATTTGAAACCTCAGGTGTGTTTGTCCCCTCAGTCTCTTCCCATTTCTTTCTCTACGGTGACTCTTCTCTTCTGGACTGAATGGCTGAATGGGTTAAAGGAAGAAATGGTGCTTATCCATTCATTTGTTTTTTAGTTAAGAGGCTTTCGCCAGACTCAAGTTCCCTTCTACCCTGCAAAGTGATATTACAATTTAAATAATTAACGATGTTAATACCATTGAGAGAGAATTCCAGATCAGATTTGCTCACTAAGTGTCAGTGAAACTGCTAGACTTGCAAAGTGGCCAGGGGATGTTTGCGAGGCTAACCCACTTATCTTCTCATCCATGGCAGGACGCCGCCAGTAAACAACCTCCTCGTCTCCCAATGGGGCTACGTTTGTACCAGAAGATTAAATTAGCTCCTATAAAGGAGATTGATAACGAGCCTGTTGATCCACGGGCAGACAGTGAAACTTTGAGTCACCCGGTCCGCAGTCAGCTCCCCAAATAAACCACGGGGAAGATGTATTTGTTGGCAGATTTGATGGGGTTGGGATTAAAAACCAGCACACGTGATTCGAGTGGCTGTCTTCATAGACAGATGCACTTGTGGAGAAGAAGAGCATTTCCAAGAAGCACATGCACTTGTAGGTCAAGCGAGTGAAACATGCAGTTCAGGCTGCTGGGGTGCCAGAAGCAAAACCAAACAGGCTGTGGCTTTAGGAAACGTTTATCATCTCAGCAAGCAATGAGGAAAAAAGGAAATGTTCAATAAGGTAGATAACGGAAGGCTCGAAGACAGCTTTTCTCCCTCCCTGCAAAATCTCTTTGGAGCTATTTCTCTTTCTGGGTGCCACACATGCTGGAAGTACAGAGTGACCAAATATTGTAACGCAGAACCCAAAACTCTGTTGTTATGCAGTGAGTGACCTCAATTAGAGCTATTATCATCATCATCATCATCGCCATCATTTGAAACTATGAAAAGGAAACTGACCATAAAATGAGGTGAGAGAGGATTAAACAACATAAAAGCATTTATAATGCTTAGGTCACATTGGAAGAAAGGCCACACAGTTTATTTCCCCAAAGATTTTAGATTCAAACTCAGCATCCTCGATTCACTTCAGTGACCTTCTGCTACCAAAGTCACCTGAAAGCCATTCTTCCTGCTGGCACCTGTGAAGCCCTTGCCCAGCCTGAAATATTTGCCCCCTTGGCCTTCAACACGTCTGTCTGTCTGGATCTTGGTGACACAGGGAGCAACCACGCTTCTCCTGCGACAGTTGCTTTGCCAATTTACTCTTCCACCCATTGCTTATTCTTTGCCAAACAGTCTGGAGGAAAAATTATATTCAGTGCCTGACCAGACACATTTTAACATGGGTCATCTTCTCCCACTCCCCTTTATTATCCACCCCACAAGACTGGGGGAGGGAATGGCATGGAAATATAAAGCCTGCGGTGGTTCTTCCGTTCCTAAAGCAGTTTTTTTTTCCCCCAAAATGTTAGCAAGGCTCACAAAGTGGGAACACACGCATGCAAACAAGAATGAAAGAGAGCAAGCCCTACCTTCTGAACTTGATAGATCTAGGGGAAAAGGGAAAGGAAAGAAACAAGGAAAGAAAAGCTAGCATGAGTGAATGAATAAATAGCAACGCAACGTTCCGGAGCTTATTCTAAAGGGAAAAAAAAAATTAAATCATTTATACACAATATACAGCAAAACACACATAGGAAGAAGTGCACATTGAAGTCCTGTTGAGGTAGGTAGGATGAAAGAAGTGTTTACATTCCAGGCCTCCTCTGAGTGCCCAGCTAAAATACAGCATTGCCCATTTTCATACCCCTTCGGCTCTCGGAGGCACACACAACGTTTGCTCCCAAGTCTTTGCCCCAGGCCAGAGCCAGGACCTCTTGGTTTTTTTTAATCCCCATCCTTCAAACTAATAGTACCCAAATATTCAGCCAGGATGACAGTTGTGCATCTACCATCACAACAAAAGAGAGGTTGGTAGCTGGTCTCTCCTCACAGGTGATAGAATGAGAGGGAGTGGCTTCAAGCTGCAACAGGGTAGGTTTAGACTGGACATTAGGAAAAAAATTCTTCACAGAAAGAGTAGTCAGACACTGGAATGGGCTGCCCAGGGAGGTGGTGGAGTCCCCATCCCTGAATGTGTTGAAGAGTCCTTTAGATGTGGTGTTGGGGGATATGGTGTAGGGGAGAACTTTGTAGAGTGGGGTTGATGGTTGGACTCGATGATCCCAACCTGATCCAACCTGAATAATACTATGAAAAGCAACAGGCAATAACTACAGAAAATCTATTCTTCTTTTAAAGACAACTTTTGTCCTTAGCTGACAAAGCACAGCTACAAAAGCATCAATGCTATACAGCTTTTACCCATGTAGAGCTTGTTAAAAGTCTCTGAAAATTTCTCCCGCATATATTGCCAGCATTGGAGAATCTCTGGAGGTTGCTTTTTCAATTTTTAATGTTTCCATGGAGTCTCACAGCATTTGCAGGCCCTAATAAATGCACTGCTGAGTCTACAAAGTTGTTCCACAGCCTTGAACCATTTTAATAACACACAAAAGCATTACAGCCACTCTAATACATCTGAATTTTGCTTAAGTGGAGAACAACCCTTGACTGATCGGCTTTGTAAATCCACGTGGTAACAGAAAACACGGGTTGTTTTTTCCTCTTGCATCTCTCCTAGGGTTTCTAAACTAAGAAATGCTTCTTGTTCAAAAACATGTAACCAGCTACACAAATCCAGAAGGAAATTGTAGCTTCATTCTCAGCACGTCTGCTGAACACCCAGCTTTGTATCTGTAGGAAACATATCACAGCTCTGGTCTGACAGCCCACAGCTGCCTTACTGCTTATCTTCCTAGGTGAGTACTGATGCTGAATAAACACCACCCCCAGCAGCCCTCTGCTCTGCCAGTCCAGCCCAGGGGGAATGGTACACTGCTCCAACTCCAAGGTTCAGCTGGTCAGCTGGCAGCAGGGTAGTCACTCTCCCATGTTTTGGGATATATTCAGCGGGTTCTTACCATGTACTGCTCTTCTGGGCCACCCCAGGTGAACCCAGATCCCAATCACAGAATCTTCATGGTTGGAAGGGGCCTTTGACATGGAGTCCAACCATACACACACACAAAAAACCAACAACCCAACCCAACAATCTTGGGCACTAGAGCATGCCCTGAAGTGCCACATCTACACACTTCTCGAATACCTCCAGGGATGGTGACTCCACCACCTCCCTGGACAGGCCCTTCCAGGGCCTGACCACCCTCTCAGGAAAGTCATTCTTCCCAATATCTCTTCTAAACCTCCCCTGCCCCAACTTCAGACCATTCCCTCTGCTCCTCTCATTATTCCCTTGGGAGAAGAGGAACCAGCTACACAAATCCAGAAGGAAATTGTAGCTTCATTCTCAGCACGTCTGCTGAACACCCAGCTTTGTATCTGTAGGAAACATATCACAGCTCTGGTCTGAAAGCCCACAGCTGCCTTATTGCTTATCTTCCTAGGTGATATAAATAATAAAGAATAAAGACCACCCCCAGCAGCCCTCTGCTCTAGGAGTCCAGCCCAGGGGGAATGGTACACCACTCCGACTCCAACCTTCAGCTGGTCAGCTGGCAGCAGGGTAGTCACTCTCCCATGTTTTGGGATACATTCAGCGGGATCTTGCCATGTACTGCTCTTCTGGGCCACCCCAGGTGAACCCAGATCCCAATCACAGAATCTTCATGGTTGGAAGGGGCCTTTGACATGGAGTCCAACCATACACACACACAAAAAACCAACAACCCAACCCAACAATCTTGGGCACTAGAGCATGCCCTGAAGTGCCACATCTACACACTTCTCGAATACCTCCAGGGATGGTGACTCCACCACCTCCCTGGACAGGCCCTTCCAGGGCCTGACCACCCTCTCAGGAAAGTCATTCTTCCCAATATCTCTTCTAAACCTCCCCTGCCCCAACTTCAGACCATTCCCTCTGCTCCTCTCATTATTCCCTTGGGAGAAGAGGCCAACCCCCACCTCTCTTCAACCTCCTTTCAGGGAGTTGGAGAGGGCAATGAGGTCTCCCCTCAGCCTCCTCTTCTCCAAACTAAACATGTCCAGTTCCCTCAGCCTCTCCTCGTAGGACTTGTTCTCCAGACCCCTCACCAGCTTGGTGGCTCTCCTCTGGACACACTCCAGCAGCTCAATGTCCTTCTTGTAGTGAGGGGCCCAGAACTGAACCCAGCCCTCGAGGTGAGGCCTCACCAGTGCCCAGTCCAGAGGCACCATCACTGCCCTACTCCTGCTGGCCACGCTTTTCCTGACACAGGCCAGGATGCTGGTGGCCTTCTTGGCCACCTGGGCACACTGCTGGCTCACGTTCAGCCAGCTGTCCACCAACACCCCCAGGTCCTTTTCTGCTGGGCAGCTCCAGCCACTCTGCTCCAAGCCTGTAGCGTTGCCTGGGGAAATGCTGGGAAGCAGAGAATACTTCTTTCAGGCATTGCCTCCATGGCCTGGTCAAGTTCCCCTTCTTGGTCGTGAAGGACAACTGCAGAATCCAGCTTAACAACTCGGAAACATTAATTCCTATTCCTACAACTGCCTGGGGGATAACTGAGACCCACATTTGAAGCCAGCATTCCCATACACTGATCACCTCACTTGCACACTGACTCTGACCTTTTCCTTCTCCGTTGCATACACAGAGCCCCTTTCATCCATACACAGAAGCCAACCACCACCAGTTCAGATGTGGCCATTACCATGTAGCTGTTTAAGCTTTATCTTTCCCCAATGCCATTGTTTCACCCAATGCTTTGAGGCAACACCATGGAAGTCTTCCTTTCCAAACCCCAACACTTCAGGCTCGGCACAGCAAGTGCTCCTGTTGAGCACAAAGCCAAGAATACACTGATCACCTCACTTGCACACTGACTCTGACCTTTTCCTTCTCCGTTGCATACACAGAGCCCCTTTCATCCATACACAGAAGCCAACCACCACCAGTTCAGATGTGGCCATTACCATGTAGCTGTTTAAGCTTTATCTTTCCCCAATGCCATTGTTTCACCCAATGCTTTGAGGCAACACCATGGAAGTCTTCCTTTCCAAACCCCAACGCTCCAGGCTCAGCACGGCAAGTGCTCCTGTTGAGCACAAAGCCAAGACACAGGAGAGGTCTTGTGTCCAGGACCCAGATTGCCAACGGGTAGGACAACAACAAGGCCCTTGTCCAGGGCCAGACACCGCAGAGGGTGGTGGAGGGGGGTATGGGGACAAAGCCAAGTGCGTCACCGTAGCCGTTCCAACTTTTCACAAAAAAACCTGGAATTTTTTTGGCCAATTGTCAGCTAAGTGGCACGACAACAGCTCTGCTCCAAAGTCACTTATCTCTCATCGGTGTCCTGCCCCGGCTTAGATATAGCATGTTACAGGAAAAAAAAAATCAAACACCTTTAAACAATAACCTCTATTCAGGAATGCCCCCCGCGAAGAGCTTAACACAGTCGACAGATATCTAAGCAATCAAATGCCTTAAATAGCACTTTCCTGTACTACAATATGACACCCAAAAAAACCAAAAAAAGCATTTTATCCACAGTATTAGCAGCGGACAGCTTTCCTGGTTTTCTCATCATATGAGGTTTCCCACAGAAGTAAAGTTTTTTCTTAGAAATAACTTCTGAACAGGACAGAACAAGGCAGTGAAGCACGGGGAGGTGGCAGCAGAAGGCAGAAATCCTACTAAAAACACCTTCAACATTGTCCCTCTTCAGATATTCCTGCAAATCTTCACACTGGTTGTGTAAGAAAGACACAGCTTAACCATCAGAACCCTCCTTAATTTCTTCCCTGCGTATGCTAACACCAAGTTCAATAGCCAGCCTCTCCCTTCCCATTCAAGCCATGAAAATTCTGCTTTTCTCTAGTTTTTTGTATGCTAACACCAAGTTCAATAGTCAGCCTCTCCCCTCCCATTCAAGCCAGGAGAATTCTGCTTTTCTCTAGTTTTTCCTGCTCTGCCTGGGATTTTAATCAGCTCCAAACAATCTCAAATGCCAGCTGTGCCACGGGACCCCCTTACAGACACCAAATCCTAGGAAAGGAAGAAGGGGCTTAAGTCACAGTCAAAAAGATGGGTGAGCACATCAAGAGCGTTTGCAAGTCATTAATTTGGCTTTAGTATATTTAGTAATTTTACTACGTGCTCAAGGAACTGACATAGAAAAAAAAAATAAAAGAAATTCACAGTAGAAAGTACTGGCAACGTACTTTATTCCCAAGAAATATGAATACAAAGGAGGAAAAGTGTGTGCAAATGAATGTGCTGGTACAGAACGAGTTTCCAAAACAGCAAAGCCAAGTTTTGTGCTGTATCCTTAAAGCTAGAGCTGAAAATGAAGTTAAGAGACAAGCACAACGCTCTCACATTGAGCTGAACACACAGGCTCACCTGCTGCATGAACTGGCAAGCAAGAATCTTGTCTTGCAGATTAAGGAGTGGGAGGAGATCATTCTCTTTTCACTCCAGGCACTAATATCAGCTTAAGTTGTGGTC